TGCTCTCTGATTTGGTTCACCCCCGTGTGCGAGCAGGTGAAGAGGATACGGGTCTGTGTCTCCGACAACGAGAACATGAAGGCGGCGCTGTCCCTTCTCAGGTGGGTCTTTTTCCCCTCTTGTCTACTTTTCTTTGCCTTCTGCTGCCCTCCTTTACATTCGCATGTTAATTCCGGACACCACCCTTTTGTAGGGGAAGACTGGGAAGGAGAATGGGAGGGGGCGAGAGAGGGTGGAAGGGACGAAAAATGCCTACCACGTTATGGCACCTCTCTCCTATCTTTCCTCCCTCCCCCCCTTCCCCTCTCCCACCCCACATCCTAGGCACTGGGGACGTCACTGGCCGCCATGGTCCCTACGGCCCTGGTTGGCACTCACTCGCACCATGCACAAGGTATGTAGTTGAAGTGCTGTGGGCAACCTTCTGGGCCAGGACGGCGCGAAAAGGACGGTGCACAGAGCTCCGCGTTGGGCCCAACCTAGCCTAGCTTCCACCTTACCTTTTCCGCCATGGGTTTTCGATATGTGAACCAGGGCATGTGGTCTGGTCGTTTGTGGCTCCGCTGGCTGTGGGCTCTCTGTGCGGGAGCTTCTTGGGGGGGAAAGAGATCGCAATGCAGGTACGACGGAGAGGACAGAGGAGGCAGGGGACGTGCAACTCGCGAAAGAGAGGTGGAGAAGATAGATGAAGCGTGCGTGCTTGAATGATTTTACCAAGAATATTATCATTAATATTGTTACCTATAATTACACACGAAAAGACGTCTTCGTACATGATTGCGATGCCACCACCTCCATAATTGACAGCTTCCTAACCATCTCCATTTCTTTCTTTCTTTTTCCTTGTTCAATCCAGATTCCTGAAAATTACTTGAAGTGGGGCTTTGGGATTATGATGGTCGTGCTAGGGAGCAAAACGATTTATTCTGCTGGACCGTTGAAAAGCATGGCCCTATCGGCATCAAAGGCCAAGTGAAGCAGATGAGGGAAAACCTATATAAAAGAGGAGGGATTTAATGGGAGAAAAGAAGGAGAATGGGGAATACAGTGGAAAATGTGCATAACTTTTAAATTGGATGAATTGAAATGTATGTAAGGGATTAAAGAGTTAGATGTCGAAATCGATTATTAAAGGGAAAAATTGTTGGTGCAAGGTCAGGGGGTAAGGAGGTTAACTGGCACACCAAAAGCAAACAAATAGCAACGCGTACTTGTTTATTACACTCAGTTTGTGACACTATTACCACATTATGTTATCGTACCTTATTTTTACGCCATCGCGCGATGCAATGGTTGCGAATGGAGGCCCAAAATGGGCGGGATAGGTAAGGCCATTGCGACGTAGGGATTTACAGCAGGATCGAGGCATCGCTGAGCCGACCACCGAAGAAGCGAGGAGGACCAGATTCCTGGGATTGATCCGGCATTTCACAGCGCGCCTTCTTCCCACATCCATGGTGGTGATGCATTTGCCGTAGTCTGACATTATGTCAACATGCTGGTTTCATTTCCACAGCTTTTGCAGTCATCGATCTTGTCCACAACGATAATTTTCCAGGCAGGGCGGTGGCTCGGAGGGGAGGCATACTGCTTCACTTTTGGCTGTTTTGGCATTAAATTTGTCCTGCCATTTCTACATCATCCTTGATACGGCTGCTACATTAAGAAATTAAGTAGAGGTGTACAACGCCGTAGACGAAGCATGCAACTGGATGCGGGAGTGAGCAGCAGTGGAGGTATGGCGGGGGTGCAAGGGGGAGGGTGGATAAGCGGCAAAAGGGGCTAGAAATACCGAAAAAACGATGACTGAACCCACTGGATTTTTCTAGTTTCCTACGGTCATATCTAGATACTAGATGGCTAGAGGCGCAAAATTTCAGGCTGACGCCTTACTTTCATCGAATGCTTGCAACCCACTCGCCACACAGGTACCGCAGACGAGTCCGCTGTCAACAAATACGACCGGTTCTTAAAATGGCTTTTGGACAACGGCGCACACTTTCCTCTACTAGAATTGAGGGTATGGAAATTTGTAGACAGAGTTTGGGCAGGACAATATATCAGGGGGATCTCCTTGTTTCAATATCTACATGCTACGAGCCCTCCTTCGCTTACCGATGTTTTCATGCCGCTTTTAGTCCCCCCACCTTGTCGGCCTTTGCGTGCTAAGAACACTTCTTTGTTTGTATCATTTAGATTTGAAAGCTTGTCCCTCATTTCTGCTTCCTCGCCCCTCCCCTTGATTCCTTTTGTCCCGTGGCTCTAAGCCTCGATTCCCCTCTTCCCCCCCTCATCTATACACCCACATCATCCGATTCCATCTGCTTCCCACGTCCTCTTGCACCTCTTTGTATCCTCATTTTCTCAGGAGTACGAATCCGACGTCCGCGGGGTGCACGCGAAGGAGGCGCTGGCAGGCGATCAGGTGAGGGAGGGAGGGAGAGAGGAAGGGAAGGAGGGAGAGAAGGGAGGGAGTCCCTTTCTTATAAGCAAGCGAGGCGATAAACAGACGCTTGCTCAGAGTGGCAAGCCATTTCCCTTCCTCAGGTGGTGGTGGAAATTCCCCTCCGGTGCCTGATCACGGTGGAGATGGGGAAGGAGTCCGACGTGGGAAAAGCGGTGCTCGCGTCCAATTTGCCCCTGGACGCACCCAAGCACATCTTCTTGATGCTCTTCATGCTCACGGACAGGCGGAACCCGTCCTCCTTCTTTAAGGTGCGCCGGTGTTTCTCGTACCGCTCTCCTTCGGTGCCCCTCGAGCCAGGAGTCTGCTCAGATCACGGGGCTCCGTTGCCCTCTCTCCACATGGCTCTATGTCGCTCTGCCCTGCCGAAGCCCCTTTATATCTCTCGCACGGGTCCACCCTTCTCACTGCTAAGCCTTCGATGCCTCCCTCTTACCTTTCCTTCTCCTGTATTTCCCCTGATAGCCCTACTACGATATCCTTCCCTCCTCCTTGTCGAACATGCCGATCTTCTGGACGGATGAGGAACTGGCTTACCTGAAAGGTGAAGGAGGAAGGAAGAAGGAAGCAAGGGAGGAGTGGACGGGAAAAATTGGAATAAAGAAGGGATTGGGCAGGAGAAGATGAGAAATCGATCAGAGGAACACCTTGCCTCCTTTCGTCTCACGTTCTATCCTGAATCCTTGACTCATTGCAAACACTCTCTCACCCATTCTCTCCCTCTCCCTCCTTCCCTCCCTCCTTCCCCCTCCTCCTTCCCTCCCTTCGCC